GTGCAGCACATCCTCACAGAAATATCACTCTCCGTGCAGACTGCAGGAATGAGCCTCACCAGGCTTTCAGCATCACACACTATCTAGGTGTAAAGAGCGACTCCAACATCTTTAAGCTGAACTATCATCCTGGCTCAGGCCAAGATGTCAGCATCTCTGCTTTCCCAAGGAGCTCGGGCTATGTGGAGCTTCCCTCAAATTATACCAGCAAACTGACTGCAGTTTCCCAAAACAGTCTTCATCAAAGATTGCTAATGGACATTGCAGCGAACTTGACCTCAAAGTAACTCCAGTATTAAAAAATCATTTCAGAGTAGCTTTAACCAAGGATGCACCAAAATGGTTCCAGCTGTCTAAAAATGTATTCTCTTAAAAGATATACTGAGAGCAAGAAGACCCCTTTAAATATCATCTTCACCTTTGCTTTCACTTGTTTCCAGAAATGATGTGGTATTCATCTATCACTGCTGTAACAGCTGAAACCAGGACATCATTCTGGGGTTTTAGCCAGTTGCTAAGCTTTTCTGCACCTGTGGAAGTGTTGCTTAGAAATAAGCACAGACACAAGACCATGATCTGAAATCACTTCCCTATACATTTATCACTGTATCTTCCTGATGAAAAAAGCACCTGAGGTGTAAGACCTTATACAGATACCTGCCTTATTACCATAAGCATGGGTATAACATGTGGGTAAGGATCTGCAAATGAGCTGATCCTAATTTTACACTCGTAATAACAAGTACTGACAGCAATGCCATATGGAAGGGATGGAGATTGTCCATGAAGATTCAAACATCATCTTAATTTCCCCTTCTCCCATTTTGGGTGAAATCACAGAGAAATTCTGGGGAAAACAGAATTTTGCAAGTACTTTGTGGCAAGCCTTTCTTTTGTGACCATCTCCTGCACCCTAGTACCCAGGAAATGTTCTGTATTTACTGAATGTTCATTACCGTGGTTTCAGAGCACAATAAGGCTCCATTGCCCTTCATAGATCTGCATTCCTGGGAATGCCTGGGCCTTGGGGAATTGCACGGGGCCAACACAAAGGCACTGACTGTTTTGGAATCAGAGGGACAAACCTGCCCTTGGTGAAGGAGAGGAAGCCAGCAGGGAAAGTCTCTATTGTGGTTATTGCATGGTCAGTGCTGCCAAGGAAGGGGGAACAGCTGAGACACGGCACCTGCAGGACCAGAAGCTGCCTGGGGATGAAGGGAGCCAGGCACTGGCATCGGCTACCTGCTAAGCCATCCTAAACCACCGAGTAAATACTAACAGGGTGAAACACGGAACCCATGGAACTGGCACATCACTTCCCAAGCTCCAGGTAGAAACAGGGTTTGACATGAGCTTCTGCTCTCCTAGAATTTAATTTTTATTTCAACAAAAGCAATTTGCAGCACTGAAACCCGTGAGTTCTCATCAAGGACTTTCCTCGGCAGTAAGGACTGCCAAAGTAGTAGGAACCAAATTGTTGTCAGCTTAAGGACAGCCATCTGCTCAGCCTCTTCCCAGCTGCCATGCTCCAAATCAAAGAATGGATAACAATCACTTGTGTTTCTCACCAAGCTCAATATGAAAAAACCTAGGAAGGAAAAAAATAAAGAAGCCAAACCAGAAAGCAAAAACCAAACAAACCAGGAAAGCAGCACGGCAGGGATCTAACTGGGAACAGAGATGAAAGTAGGAGAAAAAGAAACTCTTTTTATTTCTTTTTTTTTTTTAAACAATGTTTTTAAAGAGTCCAATTGACATCTGCTTTATAAATGCTCTGTCATTATTTATAACCTCAAGAGCACAGAATTGTCTCTGTAGTTACAACCATGCTACTCCCATATTTTGGCTTTGTTAGCAAAGAGCCAGCAGCATTTTTAGTGGTGCTCTGGGAATAGAGATCTAACATTTCATACACAGTTTATTTAAAAGTGGACTAATTTAACATTCTTGATGGTTCCTTTTAGCACAACTGTTGCTAATTACCAGCTCCAGAATGATTTGTTAATCTGGGAGCAACAGTGGTTCCACAGCAGCATAAATACACCAACAGGGGAAAAAAGAGAAAAATAAAAGACAGGCACTGAAGAGGGTCAAATTTTAGTGAACTAAAGCAAATTAAGTGACAGGTGGAGTTGGTGACACAGAGTGGAAAAAACACTGTAAAGTGGAGCTATAAAAGGGGATAATCCTGGGCCTTGAGGAGCCAAAAACTAAAATAGTGGTGATTTTAAAGCTGTGCAAATGTTGGTTTTGGAGGCACGGACAGGAAGCTGGTGTGAAAGATGATCTGTGCTCCTCAGGACTGGGATGGGTATCAGCCTCCCATTAATCCTGTCTGTCTCTAGCAGGGTGACCCGTGCCAGAGCAGGACAGGCAGGGAGCGGAGAGGGGAGCCAGGCAGGCACCTCGTCCCAGGACATGACCTTGGCTTGCTCAATTGGATGCAGGGCATTGTGTGTGGAGGGACATGGACAAAAATTAAGCAAACACCATCATAAAAATGACAAGCAGGACTGAAGCCGGAGTCCTCAAAGGAGGAGCCCTTGAAATACTGGAGTCATGTCTGGAGGTGGCAGGATCCAACCGATGGCTTTGCACTATTCACACAGTATTTCATGGGGTTTTTCAGCAGGGAGCAGCTTTGCTGCGTGTGGCCTCCAATGTCCTATCCCTGTGCCTAGAGCATTGAGCCACATCCATCACCTTCCCCTGGCCCCATGAGACCAGCTCTGGCCCATCTCAAACCCACCTTTTTCACAGCAAAAGATCTGAAATGAAACTTTTAGGAATGGGACTACATTATCTTTGATGTTTACAAATCATCAAAGCCATTCCTGTTGTTGGTAGCAGAGCAGGACGCAAACAGCCGTGGAAGGGGACTGAGCAGCCTCCCTCCAAACACGGCTTCCACACTTGGATCACTGGTCTTTCACTGCATGTGTGAAAGGACTTGAAAGTTCATAAAATTAATTCCAGATAAATATTAGTGAGGCCTCAAGTGGAAAGCACATCTCCTTCCTTCTGGAAATTTATAGTTCAGCCACTTTTATCTTCTGGAGGCTCTTCAGAGATCAAAGATTTGATCGACTTTCCTTTTGCACAACTCATGGAGAAAACGGTGTTATCGGGACTGTGACATGATTTTTACTTATTTTTTTAATGATTCATTGCCGTTCTCTGAAAAGTAAAATTCCTTCATGTAGATCTGAAACGAACAAGCTACACAAGGAAGCTGCTCTCTCTATGTGCTGGTTTTACAGTTATTACAAGGTCAATCCCCACCCTGAGAGATTACACTTGTTAAATACTGCTCTACCTAATAAAACTGAGATTGCCAAATGCAAAGTAACTGCTTCTCAACATAACCTGCCATACTAATGCTGCTAGCACAATGACCTGTCACTCCAGCCATTTCCCCCCATCTCCCTCACATTATGGGGTCAAACCCCCTAACTTACAAAAAGACATATTGCATCAGTGCAAGTGTGCTATGTTTCTGGAGCCACTCAACTCTGATGCATTCAGGGAACATAAAGGAAATCTGAGAAAGGGGTGCAAGTTATAAAGTTGGACATGTTTTCACCTGGGCACAAGGATGATGAGAACAGCCCTCATTAGTCCACCAATTTTATGTATCTATTTCTCAGCGTGCAGTGATTCCCTGCACATCTGGCAATAGAAAGGCAGCCTTAGGCAGCCTAACAGGCTCATCTAATTCCTCCCAACATCTGCCTGCAGCACTCCATTTACACCACTCATACAGTGGAAACTTGCTACTTATACAAGCAACTTGCAAAAACACTGGAATAGGTTTCAAGGAGTCGGTGCAAAAGCACTTGGATCTAGCCTGAGCCATCTGAGCATCAGAGTGACACCAGCTCTAAAGATGATGGACCACACTGAGCTGGAATCACTCTGGGAGTCTGTACCAAATGCATCATACTTGTCAGCATTTTGGGAAGGAGGAATCCAGGGACTTTTATGAAGCTCTTTCTTGGAGCACAGCCACAGGGAAATACTCTTCCACTTTGAAACTGCGAAGGCTTCAGAGGAGATGGGAAACTCGTGAAGCCAGGGAGCTGGAGAGGAAGATGAACACTAGCTGAGAGGTTTATAATGCAGTGAGGACTTGGGCTTAGCAGGCATCAACCCATGCACAGACCACTAATCCAGTATTTCTTCCCTGCTCTCCCTGGCATTCAGTCCCCTTTGCTTCTCTGTATAAAAATGGATCTGTGGTTTTCTGCAGTAGGGATAATGCTGGAGCTCTTCCAGGAGCTTGACATGGGCAGCAATCCTCATGCCACAGTGCAGCTGGACAGTCATGACAAGACAGCATTGGAAAGAAAATTCTCATACTGAAATAAGGCAGGATGCAAGCTCGGGGAAGGGACTGAAGGAGAAGTCAGTATCACACATCCTTGCTTTTATATTTACCAAATCACAGACAAGTAATTTTGATTTTTTGGTAACTTTCTGCTCTTTTCATACAAGCTGTGTACAACTTTGAGTTCCCTTCATGTGGGCTTTGAAGCCACCTGAGGCTCCACTGCACTGCAAAACCCTGTTACAGCAGTTACCATTTTGTACGGCAGATGTTCACAGCTGTTTGTTGGACTAGAAATAGCTAGTCTGATTTTAAGCAGACACAGGTGTACAGAATACTAAATATATGTATACAAGTACAAATTATAGCCATAAATGAACATAGAGCCTCACCATTAGAGAAAAAGAGTCAAGGACAAAATGACTAAGCAGCATTAATTTGCACAAAATCACTAGACCTAGAGATGCAGAAATCAGAACTATTGGCATTCCTTATGTGGAAAGGTGATCAAAATCAGATAGAAACTATTAAAAACCACAGATGCCATTTTTTTCCCCCCACATACACAATTCTGTACACCATGATCAGAACCATGAACTGATAAAAGCGTCAGTCTTCTGCTCCTCTGTGCAAGGACAAGACGCACAGCAGCAAGGAGCGAAGCAGGACTCACCGTCTGGCCCTTCGCTGCCTTTACTCCTTTTATTTCGACGGACACGTCTACCTTCTTCTCCGACGTGCAGCTTCTCTTCAGGGTGAAAGAAGTTCAGCCAGGCCAGCTGGAAGAAGAAGGACAAGTTTAAGCATCTCTGGCAAGAACGGCTTAGCTGGGTAGAGAAATCAGTGCTTGGACACCAAATCCTTTCTACCAGGGATAGCTCTGCCGAGCTGAGCAACAGAGCCACGGGGGACAAGAGATGGCTGCTTAGAGATGCTCAGCTCATCCCAAGGGAAACCACAGGGAACTGTGTGCCCTTGGAAACAGTCTAAGACTTGGAAAAACTCAACCTGAAGGGTTTCAGCAGGGAGAAGCAACCCCCGGAGCCATAGGAGCTGTGGCCGCAGGCAGAGTCAGGAGAGATCTATAGCTGGAAATAATCAAACACCCCACATGCCGATGCAATCATTTCTAATTATTCTCTGCAAAACTTGCTCAATCCTGGAGCTCTTTCACCAGTGCTACTCACTGCCAGTAAGTTTTTCCTCTCTCAAGCTCTCTTCTGCAAGCCTTATTAGCTACTGAGATTCACAGGTCTTCAGGGACCCTTAAATCCAGTTCCGTATACCACATAAATTAACACTTTAAACCTAGAGCAAGTACATCTTTATAACATGATTTTTGCCAAGAGGGAAAAATTTTATGTAGCAACCTCTTATTCATGAAAAAAAAAAAAAAAGAGCTGCTGCATTAAAAACTCTTTGACAGTTACTAAATCAACACCCCTACCCAGAAACTGGGATTTCAGTTTAGAAACTTCCCCAGTCCTCCCAGCTACCCCAGGGTGCAGCAGCTCATCACCAGTGGCATTTTCCCCAGCTATTTCCACTTCTAAAAATTAGCAATGTCACAAGATTAATTAGGGCCCAAACACCTTGTTCTGCCAGTTACTGCACCCACCAGCAACCAGGGCTGCTCTGACCAGCATGGGGTTCTTTTTACACTGAGGAAACCCCATCACAGTTATTTGAACCATAAACACACAGACAAGGTAAATACAGCCTAAGACAAGAATAAAGAGGCTTCCAAAAAAAGCAGCACCAAAGGTTATCAAGTGCATTATTGTTCCAAGAACAAAACCTGTGGCATCAAAAGCATCTTTGAAATAGCAGAGAAAGATAAACTCCTTCCATGAATTGCTAGTTAAGAGTGTCTCCTTCAACCACAGGTCTTAAAAATCCCTATTAAAAATAATAATCTCTAAAGGTCTCTTTGCTTTTGACACACCCTGGGGCTCTCACTCCCCCTCTCCTACCTCTTGGCTCCATACACAAACACCTATTCCCGAGTTCATTCCCACTCTTCTTCCAGGCAAAGAGCATCCCCAGTCCTGCTTCCTAAAGAGCAGCTGGATTTTACATTTGCATCTCGCTTTACTCCAACAAGATCCAATGCAATCTTACGAATAAGACTTGGAAGACCAAAGTCAGCACTCATCTGCGTAAGGAAGGACCCAACACAGAGCCAGATGGAGAGCCAAAGACTGAGTTACAACGAGTCTTAGTAAATGGAGAGAACAGGGCACAGGTCCCCACTGCCCATCTTCCCTAACCTCCCACATCCCACCTCACTGACCCAGACATGGAGCACCAGAGCAGGATGCTCGTACAGGCACTGCCAGTACTTTCCCTACACAACCAAGCAGGGCAAGGGATGAGGACAAAGTAAAAGAGTTTTTTTAAACCAGTTCTTTAAATCAAGTTGAAACACTGTAGAACTGAGGAACAAACTACATCATCATTCAGGTTAAAACATCAATGAAACCATCAGTGCTGCTTTTGAATGCTGTTATTACTTGGCTTTACAAAAGATGATTGAATAAAAGCCCTGAAAACGAAGCGGTGGGGAACCAGCCTGTGAAGAAGTGCAGCTTCCCACCCCAAACCACCCTTGCCTGTGGCCAAGTGGCACAGGAGCTGCTCCCAGCGCTAAGGCCAAACCCGACATTTTTCATCCCAAGATTTTGTAATGGCACAACCCTCATTGTGTCAAAACAAACAGGCTTCCTCTCCCTCCTATTACAAATACAATTTTAACCCAACAAAGAAGCTGCAGCATAAATTTAAGCTCAGGCAATGCCACCACCTTCTCCACATCTGGGCACTGACACAGAGATTACTGATAAATACTCTGATTTGTTTTCCTGCCAGGTAGGAGCTGTATCCTCATACGCCACCCTCCCTCTCATGCTGTAAAGAAACAGTTACTAGTGGGCTTGGAATAATTCAGATAAGAGTTTCACCTGGAAAAACATAAGGATTCGGAATGGATGAAACACCCTGATTTTTCATTTGATTGACGAGTTTTGTCACTTTCAGTGAAACAATGAAAATTCCTTAAGAGACGAAAGCTGTTCACAATCTGAACAAAACCACTGAAGTTTAGTATCAGAAGGGGAAGTACAGGAGATAGATATACACAATATGTTTATTTTCGTGGATAAAATAGCCTTTCTATTCACGAATCTCATGTTATGGAGATCTAAGCATGCTTTGATCACCATTAATAGTAACGTGAAAATTTAGATTAAAAAAAAGGTGAATAAAACACAAATTACAGCTACCAAAGCACATCACCCAGCCAGACCATCATCCTCCTCCTCCACTTCCAGGGATGGGGCAGCCACAGCTTCTCTGGGCAACCTGTGCCAGTGCCTCACCACTCTCATCATAAAAGATTTCCTCCTTATATCCAGTCTAACCCTACCTTCTCCCAGCTTAAAACCCTTGCCCCTTGTCCTGTCACCACAGGCCGTGGTAAAAAGTCCCTCTTCATCTTTCTCATAAGCCCCTTTACATAATGAAAGGCTGCTCTAAGGTCTCCCTAGACCCTCCTCTTCTCAAGGCTGAAGAATCCTAACTCTGCCACTCTGTTCTCACCCAGGTTTTGTTCGTATATCACACTTATCACTCAAAAATAATAAATATTGGCTAAATGCATTTACCCATTAAACTCTGGCACTCTACTTAAACCAAGTCAGAAAGAAAAGTTACAGTGAGGGTGAATGACTGAAACACACCTTTTACTTAGAAAAGACTACAATAAAAATAGCTTGTGACAGCAATTGTGACCATGCTGGCAATGAGCACACACTGCTTTGGGACAAACCCCCTTTCAACCAAGCTTTTCTGAAGAAGTTACACATCAGTACTCCACATTTGGTCACTGACACAATTGGTGTGAGCAAAATGAGAGTAGTTTGTCCTAGAGACTACTTCCATAGCACTCTGTGCCAAGTAACGGCATTAAAACCATGGTGCCACCCTGCAGGGGTTCAAGGAAATTTACCTCAGGTGGAGGGAGCTGTTATTTGTTGTGCCCACAACAAGGGAGAGGATTTGCAGTGCAGAATGACCAGATGTTTGTCACCCATCTAGCAAAGTATGATGCAGCCACACAGATGCGCAATGTGAAACAACCTTCAGTGACTTGCTGCTGTCTGTACACTACTGCAGCATTACGACACAGAGGTGGCTGAAAGCTACGCTTCAGAAACTCATCTGGCTTGTAAGATGGAGACTCCACACTCTAGATAGGTAAGAATAGATATGTGTGTCTGTATGTATATCATGGTTATCTTTTTAAGGTACCATAAAATAGGAAGGAGGCTGTGAAACCCAAATGTATGACAGAGTTATGGCTGGGTATACAAACCATGTGCAGTAAGAAAACCAGTGCTGGGATGCTGAAATAACTGTTACGGCTTGTGTATTTAATTGCATCCCTCTGCAAATGCCTTAATGCACATCCCTCAGACACACTTTATAGGATTGAAGGTCCCCTGGGCACCAAAGGAATGTATTTCCAACGGTCAAACAGCTTGAAAATGAGAGAAGCGGAAAAATACAATCCAACCAATGCAATTATGCACAAAAGGCTTTTTCTTTCCCTTAGGCAGAGCCAAGTCGGTCAGAAGAACCAGAGTCTTCTTCCTGATGGGCAGCAGAATTGGGAAAAGCACACACGCGTTCAGGTGCACGAGCCCTGTTCAGTGAGAAGTGCATTCTTTCAAAGTCTTGCAGAACATATTTATCCCTAACAAAACCCCCAGAGAATTCCCTGCCTGCAACTATGACAAAGTTCGCATCCAAATAATCATGAGAAAGCTTAGACCAGCCAGCTTTAGATCTAATCAATAAAACCCACACTCTCCTACAGCACAATGTCTTAGAGCACCAGAGGAAAAATACCATGAAATCATCCTCTTTCATTATTGTTTAATGTTATTGTTAAAGTCAAATTCCCTCATAATTTGCAATTTTGGAGATCATAGAAGACTAATAACAAGCCTAAGCTCTGTAGAAGCATTCTTTGCAAGCAGTACTGTTGTTTTTCTGGTGCTCTGAAGTTCAGCCATTGGAGGTTGCGGTTCAGAGCAGCAGCTACTTGAGCATCACCCCCATTGTCCTTCATCAGAAACTTGCCTCTGGTAACACGTGGTGCAAAACTAAAATTAAGTAGATTATTTATTTTCAAACAGACTAGAAAGAAGCTCGGGGAGTAGCTCTGCTTCATTGGGAAAAAAGCTCAAACCCCATTCAATGTATTTTAAGTCTTTTTTTGTCGTCATTACTTGTCCTCATAAAAATGCAAGAAGCGAAAGAGTAAACAATTGCCACTTCATCATGCCAAAAACTTATACATGATGTCTTGTCTGCAAGACAAGCCACAGATCTGAATGCAAAGCTCTTGTAACATAATACATAGCATGAGCCAGAACGTGGTCAGAGATAGCGACGGAGAGAGTAGGGATTATACTAAGCTGGAATTCTCACAACCCATCTTCCTCCTTCAGATCTAGTGGTTTCAGCCCAGCTCAGTTGCACGCACCCCTTCCAGGGCTCTGGAGGTTACATGTCGTCCTCTGCAAACCCCTCCACCAGCTTTTCTATTTTCCCCTGTGAAAGCTCAAGTATTGGCCTCTCCTTCACAACTGTCCGTAACCCTTCTTGCCCCTATTGCTTCATCTCTCACATCACTCCCAGTCATCCTTCCTCTCATCCCAATGCTAGCCACATCCCTGCTCTCACCAGCTATTCACCGTGGAGCCCAAGGTCCCAG